GTCCATTGCCTTACAGATACTTATAGGTAGTTACTACCTATAGTGTAGTCACTCATGGGGATGACAGGTTATTCCATTACATCATAAACATTAATTAGAAATTAGAAATATGTGAAGAGGTTGAATTTTCATGACATTCCCACACTGTGATGAAAACCCAAGAAATTATGGTGGTATTTTAAAATACTGCTGGAGTGTTCTAGGCTAATGGTTATGATTTTTCACTCCAGAATGTTATTACTAAAGAAGAGAGACCATATGACGATAAACTACATCCACGTCCTGGGTAAGACGATAAACTACATCCAACAGCAAGGCCTCTGATCAAGAGGTTTTGAGGAGTGTGGAACCACTTCTTAATTGTTCCCAGGTCCACCCTGACCCAGGGTGGTAGCACCTGTTAGGGTCCCAGCTATGGACAAATAGTTAACCCTGAAACTGTGGTAAAACACTATGAAAGTGTAAAAATAGGTTTTAATACCAGAAATACTTCATAAAAAATTATTACCAGCAATAAATTTTTGTAGAAAAAAAAAACTATTACCAGCAATATATTTTTGAAGGAAAAATATTACCAGAAATAGATTTTTAACAAAAACAAAATATTACCAGCAAAATAAATGTTGTCAGCATTAAATAACCCATTGATGTTGATATGCCGTAAAACAAACCAAACCAAAACAGAGAGAAATGATAATCTGAATAATATATGGATTAATGAAAATACTATACCCCAAAACTTTATACAACTTTGTGGAATTAAGCCAAGTGGTTTCCATCCATAGCAATCAGATGTTATTCTTGGATGTGGTGAACCTGTTCACCAGAATTCCTGACAGTATTTCAAATCTAATTGGAATAAAACCACTCCCTTGGAGAATGCACTAACATTCCAATAGATAATCTAATGGAAATGTTAATGTTCTGTGTACAGGCAATATTCTTCCGGCTAGAATCTGACATTTCTATTGGAATTTCTGGGATGAGGAGTTATCATTAATTAACATTATATTTGGACTATTGTCCTCATCTTTGTTGATGTTATTAGTCTTCATCAGATGTAGTGTAGTGTCACTGACTCACGAGAAGTAGTATGCACTCAGCTGCCTCCTGGGTAATAGCTGTAGCTATTTATAGGTTTTGTGACTTTCTATGTAAATGAGCCACCTCATCTCCTTGTACCAAAGAGGTTTTATCCTCTTATTTTCCATGGTACTTCTGGGAGTTTTGTCTCCTCACTACCTTCCTCCTTGTCCCTAAGAGATTGTCTAAATATGGGAGGTTGTGATCTTTTTTTTGTAGGAGTGTTCTTCCAATGATTGGTCATCTTCAGAGTCTATATTACTCTTGATTTTACTGTCGTGTTTGTCTTGCCTCAACATGACACTTTCACCTTCATTAATTTCACTGTACATTTCTTCATTGTTATTGTGTTGCAATCTAACTTGGTCTGTATGCACTAATATCCCATTTCCATTTTTATTCTATTATCATAGTGTTCTATCCACTTTACATTATGAATCTTGCCTCTTGTATATTAGATTCACTATTCTTTTTATGCCACAGTTTTTCATTGATGGCATAAGACATGGTCAATCGAGCTCTAATTTGGTTACCCATATAGGCAGATGAGTTTTTTGATCTTCCAACATGTGGTATTGTCCTATAGCTTAGCAACAATCTAGGAAGAAATATTTCTATCTTTCCTTTTCGTTGTACACATATTTTCAATCCGTTTTTTATAGTTTGCACCATCCTTTCTGATAATTTGTTTGATTGTGGATGGTACAGTGGGATTTTATATGGTTTGCATCCAGTTTTGTTTGACCAGTGACATAGTTCCTCATCACAGAACTCTGGGACATTGTCAGATACTAGCATTTTCGGAATTCAATTTCTTGAAAATATGATCCTTAACACTTGTTTCATGGTTGAACTTCTTTTGTTGGAAACCTGTATTACTTCTGGCCAGCCTGAATATGAATCTACCAGTATTATTAATAATCCCACTCCATTAACATGGATATGATCCATATGTACTCTGTTCAAAAGGTGGGACTCTTTAGGCCATGTATATGTTTTTGACTGTCTAAATTTTCTTTCATTGCACATTTTACACCTTTTTAAGTATTCTTCTACATCTGTAGAATAGCCTGGCCACCATGCCACTAGCCACTTAATCACCTTTGCATAGTTATTTCACAATGAACATCATCATGTATATTTTTTTATAATTTTGTTCCTTTAAACTATTACATCTCCATTACAAATTACACCCTTTTACTACAGTTAACTTGTGTTTAACGTCTTTAAAATGCCTTTCTGCCTGTGAGCAATTATTCCACTTATTATTTTTTATCCTGAACAATATACTGCACTTGAACCCAATGTAAAGAGCAAAATCATACGAGTAAGTTTTTTTTGTTGAAAGATTTTTGTGTCTGCCATTCATTGTAAGGTAGAAGTTGGTCAAAGTTTTTCTTCATTGGCTCTTGGTTTAAAATTGTCTAAGCGATGCATAGTTGAATTTGTTTATATACTTTTTTGTACTTTTGTCATCCACAACAAAGTGTTGACCAATGTGTGATATTTTCCTCTTGGATACAAAGAACATGCAAAACTATATAAACAAACTCAATTATGCATCATTTAGACACTTTTCAAACCTCGCCACCAGTGAAGAAAAACTTCAACCAACTTCTACCCTACCACACATGTTGATCCTGAAAAACTTTCAACAAAAACAATTTACTTTTACAAATTTGAAGTGAAACCCAATGTAAAGAGTAAAATCATACATTTCAAAACTTTAAAAACACATCTACATGACATAACTATCGGGACAAGATGTTCTCCAGGTCAGCAAATATTTTTTTCAACACATGTGAGCCCCAAAATCCCCAATTGCCATTACAGTTACTACTATGGTCAGCAATCACCCTTTTCATCTCTACTGCTTTTTGCTTCATTCTTTTTTTCTTTTAGAGGCACAATAATGCCTGACTCTACCTCAACCAGCAGACATCACAAAAATAATTTTTCACCAAAACAAAAAATACGACTTTCATCTTACAAATTTGAACCAAGCAAAACCCAACTTATTTTCTTCAATAATACTGCCCAGAATTCACAAGTAAACCTACGTGGACCACAGGAGAAAATACCACTCAAACACCATAGAAGTCAACTCCATTCCCAATTTTAAACAGCACTGTTTCTCCTCGGCTCAACAGATAAAGGTGTGAAATAATTCCAAGGTGACTCACATGAACAAAACTAAAAAAATCTGCAAGTACAATTTAATAATACATGGAGATAGCTGCATCTCCAAGAAAAATCAATAATAATAACAGAATATCTTTAAAAGTTCTCACAAAACATGTATTCAACACACGGTAAAAATTTCACCAGTATCAGCTCAACAACTTTACAAATCAAAGCATCTATTAAAATTTTGTGTGCCAACATCATCCACATGCAGAAAAACAAACCAGGCCTTCCAAACAAAATCAATTCAACATGGAGTATTGGAAAACAACAAAATTTTAATACCAACCACTGAACTCTTTTTCTACATCCCTGACATATCTTCCAGAGCATGCTACATTCTGTCTTACTAGAAAATTATACAACACTCTGATGACACAGTACTTCAGACAAGTACATTTTCATTGACATGTTTAAACACACACCTCTCAACCATACTGTTCGACTTTTTTTCAGCCTGCAAGGAACAAAACAAACATACACAAACTTTATGGACATATGAGCAGAATAAACTTCTCCCCATCTGAAGGGGAGTATTGTGGGGTTGTCCCCACTTACTTCACAAAAAATGCCACTAGGTGACACTCATCAACCCTATAAACAGACAGTGACATTCTCTGTCATCGTCTCTTTTCTATTTTTCTCTTAGACAATAAGATGTAGAATACATGTACCTTTCACTTCACTTTCATTTACTTTTCTCTAGGACTTACTTCTACACAAACATCTTCACTAGCTTAAATGTTTTCTTCTTTCATATTCATTGTTCTGTCACACACAAAAAATCTTCTATTGTCTATGTATACCTTTGTTTTGTTAATACATATATTATCATTTGTTTATATGTATAGTTTTGTTGTTACTTTATTCACTTATTAGACAGACTCACATTCAAGTCAACAATTATTGTTGTGGGAAAAATGCATATTAGAAGACACATGTTTTGTAACCTAAACACTACCAGCATCCGTGCAACAAATTGATTTAGTCTGAAAGTTTTCCACCTCAACCCTAACAATTAGTAATGCATTCTGCTACTAATTGGTGACCAACAGCAACCTTGTTCATTTCAGTCCTGTAGTAGCTTATTTGCTACAATTTTTTCTTATTTTGTCTTCTCTAAATCAGCAAAGCATTTAACTTTACTATTTTTTGCATATTTTTTTCTGACAATTTAAAAAGAATAAGTAAGAACAAACCCAATTTTCACTTGAAATCAGCTGATATCAATATATAATGAAATGATTAATGTATGGAAAAAAGAATCTTAACCTCTCTATTTTATTTACTTATTTATTTTGTAAATGAATCAAGCATAATCATCAGACTTAAAAGGACGACAGTAAAATTTTGTGTTTTGAGATTAATAACATTTTTGGGAAATTACAAAATAAAATTTGTTTTGAGAGATAATGAGTAAATTAAATTATCTTTCAGTTCTGTGGTCATCTGTGGCCCGAAAAAGCTCTATAAACGGAAAACCAAAAAAAAAACGGTATTATCGTATAGTTTTGTGGTCATCTATGGTTTGAAGTTAAAAATTTAATGAAACTGTATGAAGGGGGATCTCTCACTTCTTTCTTGTACGGAGACGTTGGGTAGCGTTATATTCTCTTTTGTTTTGAGAGTGGTAAATCAACAGCAGCATCTGGAATAATAAATAGACAGGACATGTGTTTATTAGACACCGTTGATTGACGCTTCAGTCACATGTGCGGCATTACGAGAGTAAAATGGCTGGAAAAACATGGAGTTCCCAAGTGTGTCTGCCCTTCTTCATCTTATGTTTTTACTTTCTTTTCCCTACCAACGGAGCTCCCTCAAAACCAAATATCATTTTCATACTCACTGATGATCTAGATATACAGCTTGGAGGACTGGTAATTTACTTAATACATTTTATTCATTGTTCTTTAATTTGTTTCTGTTTTGCTTTTGCAAATAACTTTTCGAAGTTGAACGTGTTTGTTAATTTGTTATTTTGGGCTTTTGTTATGGTTAATAAAACTGGTGCTTTTTTTTATTTTATTTTTTCTGCTTATAAAACTAAAATTAGGTATGCTTTGTTTGATAAAAATGATCATTTTTAAATATTAAGAATATGTTTACCTTGTTTTTAAAATAATATTTACCCCTCGCCACTTTATTTTTTTTTTTTTAACTCGTTTTTAAAGTAAACAAAACTCTTAATCCGTGTGTAGATTGCGATTAACAGGTTGAGAATTCTCTTTTATTTTCAAAACTAAATTTCTGGCAAAACAAAACCGGAACTTTTTAAGAAAAAACAAGTTCCCTCATTAAAATATTAAACTAAAAAGCATTGGTTTTTAATAATTCACTAATTACCCTTTTTTTAAATTACTTTGTTGAACGGAAATGTTATGAAATAAAAAGAAAATTTTTCTTAAGTGTGAAATTTTTTTCTCTTTATTTGAAACTTAATGATGATGTAACTATTGGATAATTTCAGATTTGTTTTGTTTTTTGTTTTTTTAGTGAGTTTGAGTGGACTGTTAATAATTATTAGAAATGAAAAGCTAAAAACTAAAAAACTTCCACTAAAAAACGATTTATAAATGTTGGAAGTTGGTTTAAAAAAAAAAAAAAATATCAAGATTCTTTTGTTCTTCATTTAAAGCTTTTTGAAATGAAATTTATTTAATATTTTTGAAAACGAAAACTAGCCGGGGGAAATATGCATATACTTTTAAAAAGTATTAAATAACTTTGAAAATTACCCAATCCCAATATAAAACGAATCTTTGATTCACTCCCCCACTTTTATTGCACAAATATATATAGGCCCTTCTTGCTTTGTTACATTGGCGTAACACACATTCTGACCATAAAGTCAAAATAATCCGTTAAAAAAAATAAAATCCTCTGGAACAAAGATGAATGACGAAAAGAATTTAAACTTTTCAATGTTTAAGTTAATTTCAATTCAAGTGAAACATAAACGAAACCCTTTTTCTATTTTTTTTAGGTTTCCTGGTTTCAGAAGCTGCTCACTGACTATTTCTCGGTTAAAATTAAAAATAAAATAATTTTGAAATTACCGGGTTACTATATTTCACAATTTTAAGGAGTGTTATTTGATTGAACTATTTTAAAAAGTAAAAACTAGTACAACACCCTAATGATTAAACAAGCGCTGAGCGCATTGAGATGAACAACCTGCTTTTAAAAAGGTTGAAACATTTTTCCTATTTGGGATCGAAAGAAACTTAGAGATTGTTATTATAGACAAACAAAACAGATGAAATGTGATGGTCAAATAAAGGTTGATTACGGAGGCAAGGGCCCTTAGGCGTTGAAGAGTGAAATGTCCAAATGATCACTTCATCAACCAAACTATCATGGCAATGACAGTGACTATATACATTTTGTCAAAATATTTGGCAGCTGGACAGTGCAGGGAAAATGGATTCATACCATTTCTGATGATTAGTGCTAAAAGTTAAACAGAAACTGCTTCAGTTTAGATTTTGAACTCTGATTTTATATTCAATGTCATCATTTACCCGAGTCTCTACCATCTTTGAAATCCTGCACAGAGGAGGAACATTAACTACTTTTATTTTTTCCTTTTGAAATTTGTCAGTATAACTTGGATTCTCATATGCTTCCATATTTCAATGTGTTAGTTAAATAGTGTACTTAAAAATTAACACTGTTGTAGAGCAAAAGAAAATATCTCTCACATTCTTCATTATATCTGGGTATTTCACACACTACTCCAAATACTAAAGATAAAAAAAGAAAAAAAAATATCATGTAAATTATCTATATAATACTAAAATTGTATGTTCCCAATATATAGCATAAACAATAGATAATATCCCAACCAATTTAGGAGCATATTGTATCTTTTAACCCTTACGGAGTAAAGTGCCAAATTTCATTAAAATTAGACAAGGGGTTCTTGGGTTAGGTCTGTTTTCTGTTTATACAGCATTTTTAATAGGAAATTCAGTATTTGTTTTCAATACACACTTGTATCAATCTGCTTATATAAACAAACATTTGCATATTAATATTCTAACTATTATGTGTGAAAAATAAGCATTCATAATACATTATAACAACCTTATGCATGCTTGTTTGCTGCTAAGTATTTTGAAATAAATGTGTAGAAGAAACATGTATAATAAAAATATACTTATTATTTTGAAAAAGACTACCCCTGTTTTAAGCAATTACTCCAAATTTTCATGCCATGTGTTAACTATGAAGCCCAGTGAAGCAATAAACCTTCCTTTGCTATCTTTTTAGTATTAATTATTAATTTTGTATGCAAAGTTCATTTTATGGAAGAAATTTCTCTTTTAATATAAAGTAATACATATATCTATTGATAAAAAATAATTTCCATAATTTAAATCTGTGTGTATTTGCATTAAGGCTTTTTGAATGCATTTCATTTGTTCTCAGGTCAAAAAATGTTTTACTTATTAACTAATAATTAATAAAAAATATACTTATTATTTTGAAAAAGACTACCCCTGTTTTAAGCTATTACTTCAAATTTTCATGCAATGTGTTAACTATGAAGCCCAGTGAAGCAATAAACCTTCCTTTGCAGTCTTTAAAAAAAATTAAAATGTGTAATTAATAACATTGATAAAAACCTCTGCTTTGAAAAGAAACTCAACAGCTCAACGGGTTTTTGGGTGGTCTAGTTTATGTTAATATTTTTAAAACCTTGCCTCAGTCAAATAATAATGTTATTTTGTTTATATATTTCATCCACTAAATCTAACAAATATTATGGAACATAATACATTAACATATATTATGAAATATAATAATATATTATTTGTTGATCTTACATTATTGTCAATCTTTGTTGGGAAATAATTAACAATCTTAAATGTTTTTTTTTATGTTTGTATATATGTTTGTATGTGTAATAATTCTTTGTTGCAATGCATTCATATCTTTCTCAAGTGATCACATGCTAGCTTGGATTAAGTTAAATTGGTCCTTTCTATATGCCAAACCTTTTTGATATTTTTCTGCTGTGCTAGATTTTGTTCTCTTGTGGTTGTCATTTGATATACAAGTTGATAAAAATAAATAAATAAAACAAGATTATTTATTTTCAAGTATGTATCATGTTAAAAAGAAAAAAGTCAAATTTTCATGAAATTATTTTACCAGAATTCTTTAATATTTTCAGTGTTTGCTTTGAAGTAATTATTATTTTGCAACTTAATTTTCCCTATTTATTTATCTTTGTATTCAGTGGAATCATATCATCTTAGGATGATTGCAGAATTGTTTTGTTGACACCATCATTAACATAATTTCAAATTTATAGCATTTTTCTTTTTTCTCTATAATTTTGAAATTTTCCTCTGTATGTATATCTATGACTCTTGTTTTATTTTTCATTCCAGAAAGGATTAACAATTATACACTAAACATTTTAAAATAAATTTAGCTTTTTGTAATTTTAATTTATTGACTGAGAGTTAGTTTAACTGCTTTTTATTATTGTTGCTAGAAAACAAAGTTCTTCTTAAAGTTAGTTGATGTGTTCTATTTTCCAGTAAACAAATATTAATATCTTAAAAATAATGGCTGCATGAGTCTTCTTAAGCATTCTTGAAAATAATCAAGAATAGAAAATGTTTTTATATTTTAAGCTCTGTACTTCAGTGCTTATTGTCTGTTACGGTTTATTATTTAAAAAGGTGAGGTTAATTAAGAAAAAGATATTCATAAACATGAAAAAATGTCAAGTTACACATTGATCTTTCACTTTGTCCTTTTTGACACCATGTTTCAATGAATATATTCGGTTTTGTCAAGTGTATATTGCATCTGATGGTCAATGGAAGTTACCGTGTGTTGTGATGTTTTTGTTTTCTCCTCTCGCTTTACCTCCCTTGAAACAAGAGATGACAAAGAAAAATACTGAACAACTTGTAAGGGCTGCTAAAATGCAAATCAAATCATATGTGAAAAAAATAGAATAAATGTTTTACCTAAGACTTTCACAAATAGTAAAACATATTTGTCAGATGTCTGCAGTAAAAAAAATGATATTTTGTACATTTAACTTGGGCTTCATTTGATTTGAGCTATAATTATTGTGGAATGGTGTTTCAGAATTGGTAAGTAAACTATATCTGAAGAAAAATGAAAAATCATGAGAATGCATGCAAAATATCTTTTCTTTTTTTCTTTTTTTGCAAAGAGTTTAACAATTTCACTTTTAGTCATGATGAGTATAAAGCCATATTTACAGCAATTTTCTCTTTTGTGTCATACTTAGATTAGAAAAAATGCTATTTACAGGAGTAATTTAAGAATATTTCCATTTGGGATATAATGTCTATCATGATGAACACTTGCTATGTTACAATGGTATACAAACCAACTCAGAAGGTGTTTCATTACTTTGGTTTATTTTGCAAGACTTAGTTAAGATTATTCAATCACTATTAGCTTTGCAAAAGCAGAACTTCTTGGGTTTTTATTTTAAAAAAAGTGACAAATATAAGAGAAAATAATGAAACTGTGGACATTGTTATTGCAGTTCTTTCTGACTTGCATCTTTTGGTTGTGGGTTTTTATTAATGTATGACTTGTAATGCATTTGACAGCATGGTTTGACCTCTTAAGTTAGATGTAAACATTACACTTGTTTCAATGAAATCCAAACACAGTGTTTGATCAAGCAATGTCTAGGTGAGAAAAACCTGGTTTTGGTCATAAATACATACTAAAAATGTGATCAGCTGACCACATAGTCTGATTCTGTGACAAGTGGTGATCTTTTTTGTGGGATTCAACATTCAACTACAAATTGCATGATGATGAGGAAATTAATAACCAGCCAGAGAGGATAGCAGCATCAGCAGATATGTGA